TTGCAATATCTGGCCGACAGTGCACGTCGCAGTGGCGCTCCCAGACCACGGCGGCACAGGCGCTGATGAACCTGAACGCCAAAGAGCGCACCTCGCAAGTGCGGGATCCAGGTGCAATAATGTTCCAGGAACCGCATTTTTTTATTTTTTTTTATATATATATATATATATATATAAAAGCATCTCTAACTCGTGAATCGCCTGCATCTCCAGCAGCTGAGAGGCAGCGACGTCTGCTCTATAAACCCTGCGCCCTGTCATGGAAGCGCTCGTAGCCTGGCGCTTGTCCCATCGTCGGCCTGCCATCGCCAGATGCGCGTGCATGAGCTACCAGACGGGGGCGGAACGCAATCTGAACACACAACCAACTGGCAGCGCGGCTGGCCACGACAGCCACGTGATAGCGGAAGCTCGGTACTTACGCTGCTGCCCCTCAAACTTCTCCTGGGGGGGGGCCAAGGGAAACCAAACGGAACAGTCGAGGCCGCGTCCGCCCGCCAAGCCCCAGCCCCACGCCGCCGCCCCCCCAAACGATAACGACTGGGCCATGGCGACGGACGCGCGGGGCTGGGGCGAACGACGGGCGGAGGCGGCCACGACATCCACCCGATGTCCCTTGATGTCCTTCGGGTCGGCTGCCACGGACGCGTCGGCGCCGCCGTCGGCCACTCCGTCGTCAACGCCAACGGCGGCCCGACCGCCATGGCTGGCTGATCCGTGGGGGGCCCCCTCGAACGCGTCCGCCAAATCGGGGGGCATGGGCAAGTCCTGAGCGCCAGCGGCAGCCTCCACGGCATCGCCTGGGGCCCGCCTGCCAGTGGCCATCTCATAAAATGCGCGGCGCACGCTGGGGGCCAAGCCGTGGATCGACTCGGGGAGCAGCCAAGCGTCAAGCGCCCCCATGGCGTTGGTCCACCTCCCGCGGGGAAGGACGGGCGGCATGCCGCCAAAGACGGCCCTGATGAACCAGCGCCCCAGCTTCAACGAGCAGCGCGCGCGGGAACGACAACGCCCCGCGCGGCAATACTGTTCGAAGACGCCTCGTCTGGTCAGGTCCCCGTTCGCGAGCGAGCTCACAATGAAAAAGGCGACGTCGGTGGATCTTCGACCGAGTAGAAGAGGGATCGAAGAACACGTCCAAGATGCGCGAGCGGTGGTTGTCGGCTGTAACACCAGGGCCGACGGGGTCGTCCTCGTAAACATACCGCAAGGACTGGGTCACAACTTTCACAGCACAATCCAAAACAAAAAAATTGAAAGCACCTGCTGCGCATGCAGCCAGTTACCCACGCAGATACAAAATCTGAAGATTTAGCCATTATCTGGGAAACCATGTAGACAACACAGTTAGCCCTATATGTATGCACAGGCCTGGCTACATCATCTTTGGCAGCATGGGAAACGAAACGCTCTGCGCGATCGATGGCACCGTCGCCGTCAGTCGTGCTCAAGCGCTGCTGCCGCTTGAACCTCGGGGCGCAGGCCAATGCAGGAGACGACCTGCGAATGCGTTCGGCATAACACTCGCCGATGCAACGCTCGATGCAGGCGAGGGGCCGCGGCACATCAACAGTCGCAAGTACGAGCTCGTTGCCATTAGAAAACAAGGCAGCAACGATCATATCGCCCTGAACGATCTTACAAGAGGTACCTTTATGAATGCCATGGGCAAGATCTTTCATCAAGGCAGCAACTGCGTTATGCTCATCCTCGAGCATAGGCTGGTCAGACAACGCGGCAATATCCAACAACTCGTGTTCTGGGATGCCTAAAGATTTCTCGGCTAGGATACGAGCAAACTGGGTCTCGTCATATAGGAGTCTCTCATATATCACCTCACCACAACCACCAACTGATTCGACTTTGTCTAGGTGACGGGAAAACACGACGTCGACACCATATTCACATGCAACAAGAACGGCACTTGCCAACACCAATCGTTTCACGTGAACCGTGTGAGGTGAACATATAGACTGGTCGCCTTCAGCTTTCTGTGTCAATATTGTGAAGCCTGAGGAACCTGGGTCCATTTGCTTACGGATAAAATCAACGAGTGCCGTATTTTTCAGATCGGCGGTCTGTCCATCTGGAGCGCCACCGCGCTGAAACTCAACCACGCTCTGTCCGAGGAGGGAGCCCAAGGAAGCAGACCCCAAAGGATGGCCGAGGGCCTGGATGTCGAACCCTCCATCGCCAGCAGCAGCAGCAGCAGCAACAAGGGCGATCCCGCCGCCGTCGGCGACAACGGCGCCGTCGGCGACGACCACGGCGCCGACGTCGGGGCCGTCGTCGTCGTCGTCCTCCTCGGGACCACCAAGAATGGCGTCCCACTCCGAACCAGCCTCTGGATTCAGGATGGCGTCCGCGCCAGCCTCTGGATTCAGGATGGCGTCCCACTCCGAGCCCGCGCCAGCCTCTGGATTCAGGATGGCGTCCCACTCCGACATCTGTCACAACCACGAACGGTAATCGAACACACGGTTACGGACAAATTTGAACCAAAATAGTTACGGACAACGGGCATACGAAGAACTGGTTCTGACTTCAGGGGCTGGTTCAAACTGCAAGCACTGTCAGAGGCTTCGGACGACCGCTGCGCTAACTGCAAACACAGTCTGTGGTTTTCAACACGGGCTCTCGTACAAGATCTCCCCAAGACGCCGCCGATTTTCGCTCTCCGCTTGAGATTTCCTGTGGCAATAATCCGCCCGCGCGCACGAGTGCTCTCGAGGCGCATGAGGCAATATAATTCCCTTCCTCCTCTTGAGTCGGAACACATCACAAATGGGGGCAGCATTTTTTTTTGCATTTCATAACTATGTGCTTTTCCATCACTATCGGGGCGACCACTGTAGGGGTGCATGTGGTTTGAAAGGGCTACTTACCCCTACCTTTCCAAAACCATCCCAGAAGTACTTGCACCGACCATTTCAAAACCATTTCAAAACCATTTCAAAAGTACTTATCATGATCGCCCCGCAAGCGCGCCGTTGCATCCATAAGACGCCACCGCCAGAATACGCACTGTGAACAAAAACAGGTTGTCGCTGTCGAGCGAAAACTATGCCAGCCCCTGGTCACATCGCGATGGCGCATCGGGGGCACTCAGTGATTGATCAAAGGCACCGTCGCCAAAACAGCGATCACCAATTTCAAGATTTCGCATCCAGCGCAATTGGAGGTGGCACAGTTTCCAAACATTAGTCTTCGGCAACAGCAGGAACTTGACAATACGTATTCGTCATGATTGGTAGAAAGCATATGTATAGATCTCTTTATTCTCTCTCTCTCTCTCTCCCTCTGTCTCTACCGTCGCTTGCGTTCTGGTATGCACCCGCCCCTCATACATGTGTGTTAAGTGTCCACGCGCAGGTGCTCAACATGTAGCTTCTGGTTTCGGATGTTTTGAATGGCACTCTCGCCTCAACGCCTGTACACTCCTGCACCCTTTGCCAATTAGTGAGGGTACCACCTCCCGCCTCCCTCTCCCTCTCCCTCTCCACAAGTTGCGTCCACATATGCACGGGGCACAGAAATCCAAGCGGCTACCGAAACGTGCGATGGCCAGATCCAATGTTCCAAAAACCAAGCAACGACTCCATCAATGCAAGCACTCTTTGGGGCACTTTCAGCGCGATGGATGGAAGACAACCTCACAACTGCTATGTGCAGCATCGGCAACACAACAGCTGTGGAGGTTGCGCCAGTACATGGCTCACTTCCAGAACGTCTAGAATGATTGCGATCCCGTCGTTGGCTCGTGCTAGCGCTGGGTAGGATGTAGAGGGCGCGAGATTAGGACGAGTGGGGGCGCGAGACGCAGTGCAAAAACAGAGGGGCATAATCAGCGAGACCAACTGCATGCGCTCGTGTTCCCAATGTGTATCGCGCAATGATGCAAGAACACGTGCATCCACGACAACACTATACACGAATCCCCTATTTAACTCTGAATGCATGTGGCGGGCCTCCAATAAGCCAGACCATCAAACAAACATACCTCAGTAAGCAATATGCTGCTGCAAGGACTGCAGAAGAAACTGTGGACGGCCAATTCCCGTGCGCAACAAAGACTGTGAACCAAACTAACGAAGGCCGAGATCACAGCCGTGAAGGAGATCGCACGAGCTTTGGACGTCCTTGGCCAACTCGCCAAGTAACGTCACGTCAATTTCAACGTTCTTAGCCAAGAGATCATACAAGTTTGCACGGGCGAACCGGACAGAGTAAGCCCAACAATCCTGGGGGAAGGCGCAGCACCCCAAACACGCGAACCTCGCGCAACTTTTGCCAACTATATGAGGATACCTTGGGTAAGCGTAACAAAAGTTGGGTAATATCGTGTTGTCATGGTCCTGAGTTGCACATTCATGCGTTTGGCTGGAATCATCATGTACACCGTCTCCATATGGCCCTGGTGGTTTCCACGGGTGTGACGATGGCTGGAAGGACGGAGGAGGTTTGCAAGCTCTAGTGCGTGCGAATTCCAATTGGGCTACGCAATATGTAACAAGCCGTCCCTCCCTAACGCAACAAACTTCGCTCAACCTCCATGGCACTGCTGCTGAGACGATGCACGGCATCCAACCGACCGTGTTGCTCCTGCATCGGATTTCTATGTTCAACATGCCCTGCGCGATCACCATCGCATCGCGCATCGAACTCTTTGTTAGCGGCAATCGTTGTGCAGAAAGGTAAGTCACTTAGACGCAGTAGACTCGACGGTGGGATATGTTGCTCTTACCCCAGGGTTCGCCATACGATAACTCTGTTTGATCATCGATTGTCCAGATGGCCAACGGTGATGGGCCTGCCCCCCAATTCCCGTTGCCCCCAAGCGGGGGGCATCAAGGCAAAAACTTCTGATGCTTTAACTCTGCCTGCTTACCTCCACTTCCCCCGCCCTTTGAATTACTCCTCCTGCCCACTGTGCTGGTTTCGCCCTCCATGCCCCGTGCGGCAAGCGTTCAACAATCCGTGCGACAAGAGCCCTGGCTGACCGCGCTGCTGCGGAAAAAATAACGTCCCAGCTTGAACTCCTGGTAGCCGTTGGGAAAAACTCCTGGTCAACATTGGAAATAAAACCATCTTTGCGGCGCACGTGGTGCGGCAACGGGCGCACGCACACCCACACCTATACCCATACCTGCACCTCAAAAACACAACTTCAGACTGTGGAAACTGGCATACGCAAAGTCGTGTCCGGGAATCTATGCCGAGCCACGTCGAACACGAACAACAGAGGCCAATGAACGAAACATATAGCACTTGCAATAATAAAACACCATCCAAAATCAAGCGGTCGCTGATATCTAGGAACCGCGTACCTGATGCCAGCAAGAAAAAAACCGTGGTCAAGGTAAGACAACAACTGCTGTCGATCAAGTCGTGCTGTCTTAGCTGTCCAAAGAATGTTATTCCTGACAGAAGCAACACTCATCGCTACGCTGATCCACATTGCACTTTGAACCATGCAGAGGCGCTCCCCAAAATTCATGTGGATGTTGTGGTTGATTTGCTTTGTAGTTGAAATGTATCCACCGCTGGTTATGAAGAATGCAAGAAAATACCAAGGAGACATATCCGCCACCGTGTGCTTGTCTTCAGTGTTGGGATATGACACTGCTTTTTAACACAAACACGATTCCCCCACTGACTGGTCTCGTAGGTGCTTCTGAACGCTCCTGGTGTGTTCCGCGCGACTTTTCACGAGGTCCTGGAAACAAAACTCGGAACCCAGACCTCTAACATGCCGTGAGATCGTCCCAAAGACCCGTCCTGGGGATCTCTTGGGCCGTCTTAGGGATTCTGCGGATCGGCCCACGAGGCAAAACATCGTTCCAATCCCGCGGAGGCTTGTACGATTTCAGCAATTTCGCCTCGTCAGTCTGTAAAGCGTCTGAAACGGACCAAAAGGTCTCCAATATCGACTCGAGGCGTTGCCGAGCTCCCAAAGAAAGGTCCCAGAAGCCAAGATGCTCGCATGATGGCCCAAGACTCACGAGAATCCCAACAAGTTTCCCTCCAACAGATTTCAAGAACCCTGCACGATGCCTCTGGTCCACGACATTCCACAACCCAAGAATGGTGGTGACATCAACCGAATGCTGTTAAGTCCGCCGCGCTAGTAGCTGGCCGGAGGGGTGCTGGAGTGCCAAACTACGTGGCGATTCTGGCTCCTTCCAACCATGTTCCCAACGGCGTCCCGCCCAACCCGCCGGCCCCGCGGAAACACATGACAATGTACAATTTCCGCCTCCAACGCTATAAGGAAGTCTCAAAGATGGTACCAAGACGTCTCCAAGACGAACAACATTACCCCGAGAGGGCACAGGATGGCCCCAAATCCACTTTGGCCCCAAAACGGCCAAAAATGTCCTTAAGACTACCCTGAAGACCGAGAGCTCCAAGGGGAGCTCCGGGGGGCCCCCAAGAGGTTCCCCGCTTCCTTTCAAATGCCGATTGCGTTCGTACCCATTGTCTTCTCGGGCTTCCGGAAGCCCTAAGTCGGCCGCGAGAGGCCCCCAATGAGGCCCAAGAGCCCCAAGGCGGTCCCAATGCGACCCCCAGAGCCCCAGAGGGTGCAGGAGGGCCGCAAGATGGCCCAAGAGTCCCAAGACGGCCTCCACGACCCCAAAATGTTCTCAAGAGGTTCCAGATACATACCCCTCCAACGCGGTCTCCGAAGGCGCCAGTCGGCCCGGGAACACCCTCAGACGGCCGAAGAGAGCCGCACGGCGGCCCAAGAGAGCCCTTATAGGCCATCAGAAGAGCCCGAACGGCCCCCGAAGAGCCCAAAGATGATCCCAGATGGCCCCATCCCCAGTGTTTCCCCAAGAGTTCCACGAAGCGATAGGGGAACGAGCAGTCTACTATCATTGCCGCACCTTCGCTCGACATTTCACCACACAAGCGATTCCAAAAGGCAGGACGCGGCAATGGTTCGCCGCAAGCGTCTTCGATATAAGACCTGCTGGCGCAATCGCTTCAGTCGCGACGGCTGACTCAATATCGCCCCGACAGCATAATTCCAGAAGAATCCCATGGGTAGCCAATATTTTTGCTTCTCTCTTGCGAACGCCGCGAATCCCAACGGTGGCACATACATCAAAATCAACGGCAGGGCAGATGTACCCGTGTGGTCGTGCTTTCCCCTCTGCGATATCCACGTAGATGCGAAGCATACAGCATGTGTTAGACCCAACCACAACAGGTCAGAGTGCCCCGCTACGCCGAAGGCAAGAACAACAACGACTATCGCAATATTTGCAACCCTGAAGTATGTCCAAACGAAAGAACAAAGCCACACAACAGGGATGTACCAGAGATGGTATTGAAAATTCCCGAGGATCCCGCAACCTCTACAGATCTTCTCATGAAACACAACATATACTCCCAACAAATTCAAGGATCCACCGAACAAATATGCACCACCAAGTAAGACCGTTCGCCTCCACGAAAAGCGATGCAGAAATCCGGATATTGTGAAAAGAATGCCCAAGACGAATGGCTGACCATGCCGGTCCACCTCCCAATCACTGCTGCTCCCCAGGATCTGAACGATATGATGATAGACAACAGCGCCAACTGCAATTCCACGGAGCGCCGATAACATTGGAAGGTATTCTGGCTTTGATAAGTGAGAATCCCGGTCTAGCTGCACAACTTCTCCGTCGTCTTTAAGATTGAGTTGTGCAGCATCCACATCTACATCGGTAGAACACCCAATCCTTGAGGGCGCGACCCCGATGGAAACGTTCATACTTTCCCCAATGTGCTCAAGACTGCGCCAATCCTCACATCCACTTCATTCAAGTCCATGCGGACAGCAAACGAATCAATCGATGCAACTATAACACTTGAGTGTCTTGAGCAAGCCTGCTATGGATATCCATCGCGCATGCCCTGAACCTGCAAAGAACTGTTGGCCGACTGCAAAAGGAGGCACAGATCGTGCGCCAGGTGGTTACAACATACCTATACGACCACCCTTCGGGTGACAAGGAGGTTTGGGGGTGCATGGAAAGAACCAACTGCTGGCAACTACGATGGGTGTGATGATGACGATGCTGGTGACGCGCCCTCGAGTAAGCGGCGACGCGTGATGACGATGTTGCGCTGCGATGTAATATCACTATCATCCCCTCTTTTGATCTCACTCGATCGATCCCAATATCGACCTCGACGGATCGTTCACACTCGACCGATATCACTATAGATATCGCGTCCGATCTCAATATCAATATTACGATCGATATCACGACCGATTACACTATCGGCCTCGCTATCGATCTCACAACCAACGTCACTATCCAGCTGATTGCTGATCTCACTTTCGATCTCACTATCCAACCCAGTTTAGCGATCCACTATCGACCTCACTATCGCTTCAATATCGATACCAAAGCGGGACACCCCCTGCCACCGCGCGCCAACCGCCAACGGAACACCGACGGGACATCAACGGGACACCACAAGACACCACGGCGGGACACCCTGGGCCACCCCGCGCCCACTGGGAGCGGAAGGGCGGCACACTGCATCCGAGTCGCCCTGGCGACGGCGGGGTCATTCGTTTCGCGCGCACACGCAGCTTCGCCTCGCCCGCACGCGCGACACGAACACGAAACCGACACCGATTTCCCGGTGGGGGGCTCTCCGTTCCACTGCGATCTCACCCCCCAACCTGCGATTCTCAACGAATCACCCTTGCATGAAGCAATGCGCCAATGATGCAAGGAAGAGAGAAAACGGTGTGACACAACGCTCAACCTTCCGTACCCCAATTCTGTACGAACGACCCCTCCGGGCCCCTCCGTGAAAACTACACCTCCCAGCAGTAAAGATGGTGCGTGTGTCCAAATGGACTTCACACATCCGCCACCGTGCCGCTGGGCACGGAGTGGGCGTGTCCTCAGGTGCTTTGCCCAATCCACTGATAGGGGGCCACATGCGAACCCTATCCCTACCCCCCACGATTTCTGAAGGGGAGGGTGGGGTTCACTTCGTTCGGGAGCTCACGAGCGAAGCAAACCCCACCCTTCCCCTTAAAAATCGTGGGGGGGTAGGGCCCCCTAACTGAGCCTCAGCCCTCCGTCCTGAGAGGACTGTGGGGGCCGCTGGAGCCCGACTTGCCACATCCCTCGGGCCTCGGCGCGTGCCCCATGGGACTCGCCGCGTTCTCTCGCGCGGCTTTTCCCCGGTGCCGAGCGGGCCCCAGGACGGGCCCAGAGGGACCCCAGAGGCCTCCAGGGCGGCCTCGCGCCGCCGAACGATCGCTCCAAGACGCCTTAGATGGGCCCACGACGGCCCAAGAGGCCGCCGAGACGCCCAAAGAGGCCTCCAAGAGGGCCGTAAGAGGTCAAAGTCATTGGTTGTCACTCGGTGATTGTAGGATTTTGGCATTGTTGCCATTTCGGCTTCCCGACGCTCGCAGACCTAGAGGCCCCCAAGACCGCCCCCAGAGGGCCCAAGAGGCCTTCCAGAGGGCCCCAAAACGGCCCGAGAGGGCCCCAAGACAGGCCAAGCGGCGCCTCCGAACGGCCCAAGAGGGCGCCAAGACGACCCCCAAAGGGGCCCAAAAGCTGAAACACAAACCAAAAATCCGAGCCGTCCACCACAAGAAGCCCACAGGAAGCCCCAAGAGGCGCCCAGGAGGCCCCAAGAGGCCCCCAAGAGGCCCCCGAGAGGCCCAAAGAGGCCCCCAAGAGGTCCCAAAGGGGCCCCAAGAGGCGTCCAAACGGCCCCCAAGAGGCGTCCAAACTGCCTCCAAGAGGCCCCCAAGAAGCCCCCCGCGAGATCCCAACAAACATCCAATGAGCTTCATACCCACAAACCAGGCACGGTGGCGGGATGGGCTGAAGGCCATTCGATAGATCTTGGCGCCAACTCAAGTTTCAACTTCTTTGAATCTAGCCAGGCATCATTTAAGCAAGCTCACGGAACATGTAGCCCGAAAACTCCTGAAAATATTCGGCAAGACCCACAAAGCAAGTCACAGACACAGACTGGATCGGGCGAAACCTGCTCAGCCGCTGGGACGTAAGGGCTGCCTCCAGGCAGGTGTTGGCGCACCGCCTGATACACAACATCTTCCATTGCACCGCACAAGAGGCTGGTCAGGCCACGTAACCCTCGTACCCTTGCAGTGAGCCTCATGACCTGCAAAGTGAAGCATGCGGGTCATGAAGCCCCCGAAGAGCCGTCCTTGGTTTCTCTTGGTGCCACCATGGGGACTCTGAGGGGGGGCTCACAAGGCCCAAACGATTGAAAGATCAGATGTCAAATGTGTTAGGCTGATCTTAGCATTCTGAGCTTTTCCTTCTCAAGAGCGTTCAGGCCCAAGAGAGGCCCCCAAGATTTCCCGAAGACAGCCACTCGGCCTACAAGAGGGGCCCGAGCGCCCCAAAGAGAGAACTTAAACAAATATTCGGAGCCCTCCACCACAAAATGGCCGTAGAAGAGGCCAGTAAACCCGCAAGAGGTCCCCAGAGTTTTCCCAGGAGGCCCTCAAGATGTTCTCAAGAGGCTTCCAGTAGGCCCCAAGAGGCTTCTGAAAGGCCTCTTGTCCACGACCCATGCGTGCTGGCGAGATGAGATGACGGGAATGCCACCAGATCTGCCACCCCCATCATCGTCCGCAAAAGTTGTGGTGCGCTGCCAAATCTTACAACTCCGCTTGGCCGCTCCCCAACACAATCCCAGTGGCATCCGGCCCAGGCTGCAGAATGATCTCCCAAAAGATCCGGCGTTGCGCAAACATGCCACCATCGCGACAGATCACGACTGGAGCCCTCGGTCCGAGAATGGTCCGATATGGCTTCCAAGACGGTCCCACGAAGCCACGGTGGTCCACTGTGGCTTCCCATATTGGAAAGATGACCGATACCGCTACTCCCCAGACCGCTCCCAGGGTGCTCTCTAACCAGAATCCCGGGGCGACTCCAGCCACGACGACGAAGGCCGCCCAACAGGCCCCAAACGGGGAGAACGAGCCAAAAGGGTGGCGGCATCGGTACCTACTTTTTCCTCCTATACGACATGACGTCCAATTCGGGGGTTGCTGAAGGTGCACCCTGGCCCAAGGTGCTCCCAGCCTTTCGCTCAATTCTGGAGCTCCTGGGGCCCTCTGGGCCTCGAGCGGGGTGCTCTGGAGGCCGTGGGGGCCTCCGCGGAAATCCTGAGGGCACCTTGGCCCAGGGGCACTTCCAGCAACACCCGACCACCAGGGCTCCCGAGACGGCCCCAAGACAGCGCCTCGACGGCCCCGAGAGGGCCCTCGGGAGAGCTCGGCAGAGCCCTCGCGCCCAAAGCGACGCTCAGGCCCGCGGAGGGCCCCCAAGCTGGCAGGGGGGCGGTTCTCCCCCCCCCCCCCCCCTCCCAAAAGGACCGACCTACAGGGCACAACATGCCGCCCCCAAAAAGGGAGGAGGGGAAGGGGACTCAGAGCCCCACGAGTCATGAATCAAGCAGACGGAAAGTTTTTCCCTATATCTGGCCTCTGGGGGCTGGGGATCCCTACGGGGCCGTCAAAAGACGACTGAGGATGAAAAAGCGGTCCTGGGGAACAGGTCGATCTCTGAGGGTAGACATTGTGAAGGAAATCATGACGTCGGGGGTCTGGGAAGGAAGAGTGACAACTTGCGAAACACTCCTCGGAAATTGTCGTAAACCCAAGGGGGGGGCCACCAAGCTGGATCCAACCAGATTGGCCCCGAAGTTAAGCCCGATGAAGCGGGGTGCCCCCCCAGGAGGGAAGATGGGGAGAGGAGGAGGAGAGAGCGAGGAAATCATGCTGCACCTTCGGGGGACCTCGCCTGTCTCATGGCGCCGCTCTCCTTGTCGAATCCGCGTCGGAACCAACCTCGAGTCCGCGCCGAATCCACGTCGGATGCAAGAACACACTGCCATCTATGCGACAGGCACGGTCCCCTCGAAACTGCAACGCAAAGGAAGGTGGAGCAGGAGAGCAAGGCCGAGGACAAGGACGGGAGCATCCAAGACAAGCGCCATCCAAAGCAAAACGCCAGGCTGGAACGGGCCCTCTGCGCTTCCGCGATGTCGCGGCGGCGAGGTTCGCCGCGATCAGCCGGCCAATCACTTGGAGTGCCATGTGGGACCTGGCCCAGAACAGGAACACACCGTAGACGGATCTACCCTTCCTCCAACCTTGTTTTGCGCCGCTCGCATCGGCCGCGTTATCTTTGGACGCATCCACCCCGAATGCGTCCATAGACGTAACGGCACCCAATGTGTCTGTAGACGCTTGTGCCTGGGACGTGGGAACGGTAGGCCCGAGACAATGGTCTTCTAGAAGAACGTAGACTGGGCCCTCCACGTTTTTACGACCCAAGTGAGATAAACATCATGTTTTGCCTCGGGCGGTCCCCACCCAAGCACGCGAGGCAGGATACCCAGGGAGCTGGAGCGCCCAGGGCCTTCCGATGGCAGGCGCGATCTGGCGGGGCCTCCCTGGAGGCGAGACTAGAGTGGTGGGGCTTGTTGGCTGGGAAGGATGCGAACCCCGATCAGTAAAAGGGTTCTCCGACGTCGCCCTGGAAATCTGAAGCCCTGGTGGAATCTATGGAGCGAGAAAGGCAATTTCCCTGGTGGAAGAACCGGTAGCGGTTGGAAGTCTGTTCTGACTCGAGATGTGTGAAATCGCCTCCTATGATTAGCTGTTGAAAACCAATGTTTCCGCAAGCACAGGCTGACAACACACATCAATTTTCGTCATAGACTGCGCCATGAGAGGACCAACCTTTCCGCGGTCCAACTTGCCCAAATACGCGAACCGCATGGCCAACATCCCTTTGCGAACCAGCTCCGTCGTTGAGGGGCCCGTATCTGGCAAGGGTGTACTTAATCGCCAATGCCCTGCAAATGAGAATGGCGCAACAAACAATCGTTATCACTCACACAAAAACTGCCGGCCTATAACATATGAAACACCCTGTGG